CCTCGAACTGGGACTTGCAGCTCCTCTGCAGAAGGATCCTTCCTGGGATCTGTTAAAAGCATCAGATCTGTGCTGTCCTGCTCTGCTGTTGGGCAGAGCAATTGAGAGCATCCAGGACTTGGAGCATGTGGAGTGCAGGAGCCTGAAGGGAATGGGAGCTGAGCTCCCAGGCTGAGCAGCTGCAAGTGCTGAGATCCCAGGGGCACTGCAGGGGTCTGAGCTCCTGCCTTGCCTGTCCTCCCTGCTTGCTTTTCCCTGTTGCAGGGCAGATGTCACAGATGTTGTATCTTGGCCATTATTCTGCAGCAGCTTTGCCCAGAAAACTGAGCAGGTTGGGGCTTTATGGCATTGGGAGCTGTAGGGGCACAGCAAAGGAGTCAGCCCAAAGAATGAAGAAAAAGAAGCAGGTTTATTGCCTTTTAACAGTGAGATTTCCCCTCCTATCCTCCCATCTTTAGCATGATCCTCTTCCTCCCTGGCATTTATTTTTCTAACACAAATGTAATTTTGTGGGGACAGAATGCTTGGGTATTACCCACGATATTAAGGTGTCCTTACACTAAATGAGCAAAAATCAGTCACCTTCATCCTCCCTGCAGCTCCTGGTTAATGTTCTGTTGTGCGATAGCTGAGCTGAGCCATAAAATCTTCATAGTTTTTAACCATTCGAGCCTTTTGTTTTGATTTCTGATAGAAGGGAAGGTGGCTTGGAAAGCAGCAAGAGAACAAAATTTAAGTATTTGGAATCATCCATGCCTGGAAAATCCATCTTCTAAAACCCAGTTGAAATGGTCTCCAAAGGCTTTTTGGTGCTGCTTCCAGATGAGAAGAGCAGGAGCCTCTATTGTCCCTATAGCATCAAGCACTAAGGAATGAAAATCATTTATTTTATGGATCCTTTGATGTGGTATTCAGCCCTGCTCTGCTCAAAGGTGTATTTTCAGCTCACAGCTCATGTCTCCAGCAGTGGAAATCCACAGCACGTGGCAGCATCCTTGTTTCCAGGCTGCAGGAGATTTGTGTGCTGGGCACGGCGCTCCCAGTGGAGCCTCCATGGTTTGTGCAGAAATCCAGCCCGTGTTCAAGCTGGAGTGAAAAACGTTGCTGTCTGCTTGTGACTTGTCTAGCTCAGGGCTGATTCCTTGAAAAAGCCAAATCCTGGGAAGCTGAGCTTCCCAAGCCTCCCTCCCGCCCGGTGTCACGCAATCCTGCACCACATCCCGCCCCACAAATGTGAAGGAAAACAGAAGATGTGGAGAGTCAAATAATTCTTTTTTTCCTTTAGAAAGGCATGAGGACTGTGCCTTGAGCCAGGAGGAATGCTTTCAGCTTAGCCTTTATTTTTCATTTCAATTATAAAAGCAATTTCCATAGTTCACGAGGGGAAAATTTCAGGCACCTTTCGGAAAAAAATGTTATGTTTTAGTAAATGGCTTCATAAAACTTAATAAACATCCATGCAGAAGTTAATTTATTTAAAATATCTTTAAATCCTGCTCTGCCTTATTGAATTTGTTTGAACAGTAGATCAGACTGGAGTATATTCATGAGGGCATTTAAGCAATAAGGCAGCACATCACAGTTATTATTCCAGGCCTCCTGTGGGCTGGGAAGCACAAAGCAGAACCTGAAGTGATTTTGGGCACTCAAGTGCAAAACCCCTTCAGAAGCACAGGCACAGGCATGGCCTGAGTGCTGCAAGGTGGCCAAACCAAGCTGCTGGGGTTGTTTTCTGGGAACAAAAACCACATCAGGGGAGCCCAGAGCAGCCAACCCAGCATCCACAGGCTGCCAGACCCGTCCTAAGCTCACTCAGCCAAATGCCAGTGGGAAAGGATCAGAGAACCATGGAATTACAGGATGGTTTGTGTTGGAAAGAACCTAAAATCTCATCTTATTCCAACCCCCTGCCATGGGCAGGGACACACTCCACTATCCCAGGCTGCTCCAAGCCCCATCCAACCTGGCCTTGGACACTGCCAGGGATGGGGCAGCCACAGCTGCTCTGGACACCCTGTGCCAGGGCCTCATCATCCTCAGAGAATTTCTTCCTAGCATCTAACCTAAACAGAGAAGCAACAAAGTTAGTTAAACACCATATCACTGGTGATACAAACCAGCCAAGCCAGCCAGGAGTTACAAGAAGGAGAAAGAGAAAGGCTAAAAATTTGTAGTGAGTGTATAAGCGCATGTGTGGGTGCTGCAGCCGCACCTGGGGTGATGTTTTGCCAGGGTTGTTCAGTCTGGAGAAAAGAAAGCTCCAGGGAGAGCTTAGAACCCCTTTCAGTACTTCAAGAGGCTTCAAGAGAGCTGGAGAGGGAGTTTTTACAAGACCCTGGAGTGAAAGGAAAAGGGGAATGGTTTTAAGCTGAGGGAGGGTAGATTTAGATCTCGCCAGCACCCCCAAAATTTCACAAACATAACGGAGATGTAGTAGCCATTGTTACCAAGGTTTAACAGCATTAGGACACTTCCAGCAACCCAGCCCACTCCATCCCTTTGTCACTGCAATGGAGCTCTTGTTTTAGGGTTGGATTTCAGGCACAGGAACTTCTGGGATTCACCCAAGGGCCGCAATGAAATCTCGTAGACCAGAGCCTCAAACTCCAGTGTTTCCAGCAGTCAACTGTGCTTCACCTTTCTCTTCACTCAGCAGCAGCAGGTAGCTCATGAGCTATATTAAGGCTCCATTCCAAGACATACATTAGCAAAACATGCCAACATTCAGCCATTAAAACACAGCTTCTCACTGGTTGTCAGCAGCAGCAACAACCTTGTCACAGCCCTTGGCAGCTCCCAGAGTTCTCCTGACGTTGTTATCCTTGGGGTCTGCTCCGTGCAGACTGCAGGAGGTGAAGCACTGCCTGCTGAATTTAAAAAACACCCAAACAGCAACAAACTCCATTAACTGGGACTGACCTCAGCAGTGCCACGGGGAGCTGTAACGAAATCTGTGGCACCTGACATTTTCAATGTTTTAGTTCTCCTGTCCAACTGGAAAGCAGCGATGACTGCCAACAGCATTATTAGTACAGCTCCCACACAGAGCATGAATTCTTACAAAGTTTCACATTACTGCAATAAATCATTTTTTGTTTTCCTTCAGACCGGCAATTGGAATAAGATTGATTTCTCTTTACCATCAACACAAGCATGAAATGCCATTTTTCGTGACCAGTCCAGGAAAACACCTGATGTCATGGTTGGTGCTTTCTGACTCAGAACTTGACACTTAATCCCTCTCCTTCCTCCTGGCTTGGGCCAGACCAAAGCAAGCAAATGGTACAGGGATTTTAAAGCTGCTCACCAGTGACACCACAGCAAGGCAGCCAGATTGGTTCATCCTCTCGCCCAAAGAAGCGAGCACCCTTCAGGAGGCTGATCTAGGAAAACATGTCAGCACAAGTCTACATGCTTTTGAGATGAAAGAAAACACAAATTTGTGGAGCATTTCTGAGCCTTGATGAATGCTGACCTGCACAACTGGTATAAACCTGTTTGCATCTGCAAAGAAACCCAGTTTGTCTTTGTAAGTGACACAATCTAACTCTGTTTCTTTTCTGAGTTTTTTTTTTGAAAAATATCATTTAGCAGAGGAAAATGATGCTCTTCATTCTGTTCACAGCTCCAGCCTTAAATGCCAAAGGTGCTGACCAGGCTAAAACAGAAATCAGAGTTCAGAGAATGTGTCTGGAAGAAATAAGGACTCTGGTGCTGATTTTTATTGAATACAGGACAATATCTCTTGCTTTTTGTATATATTACAGGAGTGAGGGAGGAAAGCTTTTATCACAGCGTGGCTCAGTGCTTTTTAATATGTTGCTCATCATTTGGAGCTCACTGGCATTCACTTGCAGATTTCACTCTGTATCTTGAAAAGTTTTCATGGAATTTTGGAGACAGGGAAAAATACATTCTGCCATGCTGCCAGTCTCATTCCAAGGATACAGCACTACAATCAGCTCCTCATGACTAAATCACAGAATGGTTTGGGCTGGAAGAGGCCTTAAAAATCATCTCATTCCAATCCCCTGCCATGGACAGGGACTAAAGCAGGTCGCTCCAAGCCCTGTCCAACCTGGCTGTGAAGGATGTCACCATGAAGACCTTGGGGAGCAATGTCTTTGTCCTAGAATGGCTGACTGGTAAAAATTCCTCTCCCCTTGCCCTAGGGTGATATGATCCCTGGGAGATCAGCCATGCTGTTATCATCTGATCCCTAGGGAAGATTCTTCTGGGAGAACATTTCATCACTAAGTTTAATGAAGATTCAGCGTGTAAGTGGCAGCCTTATACTTGTGGTGAACAGAAAAGCCAAAGCTATGCATAGAGGAACACTAAATAAAAACTGGGGAGGGCTATTTCTGCTCCACTCCTCAGAAAATGCAACATTAATGAAGCTCTCTACAGGGGGATGGAGGCAGAAAAAATTTCTGCAGAGAGGGAATCTCACTTTGGTTCCCCCCAGCCCAAAAACTCTGACTGTTCAAAGCTCAGCTTTGAGGGAGATTGTGCCATATCAGCTTAAGGTGTAGGACAAAAAATACAAAGGATTTCAAACGTCTTCAGAAAGTGTGGGCACCATCCGTGTACAATGACAATTCTATTTGCTCTCTGTACATCATGTCATCAAAAGGATTCACAGATTTTCCCAGGGAGAATACAGTTGTGTCAGTAACATCAATGTGCAGCTACAAAAAAAAAAAAAACCAAACCCAAAAAAAAAAAAAAAAAAAAAACCAAACAAAACAAACAAACCAAAAAACTGGGAAAAACCCCAAACAAAACAAAAGAGAAAAAAAAAAAGAAAAAAAACAAAACCAAAACCAAACCAAACCAAACCAAACAAAAAATTAAAAACCAACCAAAAAAAAACCCCCAAAACCCAAAAACTGGAAAATGGAGAAGGGAAAAAAAAAAAAAAGAGAGAATACTTTCTGCTCCTTTCTGATTTTTGCATTTTAAAAGATCAGTTAAAAGCTTTTCTCTTCACCCAAAATCTCACTTCCACTTGTTTACAACACTCCTTCTCCCTGTGGTGCTCATTTTCCTGGGAGATCAGCTCCAGGGCTTGGGATCTGCCTGTGTTTCATATCCATCTCTCCAGAAGGCAGCACAGGGTTTGAAGATTGGTTGTCTTCATCAGGAGGAAAAGCCTGTTTTCTGTAAGAAGGGACCATGAGTCACAGCACGACTTTGATGAAACCAACAGACTTCCTCAGAGGCTGGCACCAGAGTGCTGCAGAATTAGGAGCTGGAGGACCAAAATGAAATAATGAATCAGAGGATGTGATGGGAAAGGTGTTTCGTTGGAATGAAAATTTTTAAAACTGAGGGTAAGGCATGTTTATTTGAAATTGAGCCTTTGTCTTGTGATGCACAAATCACGTTTCTCAGGAAGGTTTTTAACTGTGCACAGAGAAACACAGAATAGGATTGTGATAAAAAGGAGGGGAAACAGGGCTGGGCAGAGGATCACCCACTGCAGTGGGATGAAGCAAAGGCACAGGTACAACCCTGTCAACCTGCTCAGTGAATCATCCCCTCACCAAGCATCAGAGTAAAGCAGAGAAGCAAAGAGTTAACTTTGCTCACGTCTCCCAGCAAATGCCTGTTCCCACAATCCCTGGCTCTTTTTGGCCAGAGTTCTGTATTTTTTAGCTGTTCTCAACTCTCTTGTAGAGCAATTATTCCTAAGTGCAACTGAGGATATTTTCCCTTCTGCTTAGATGAAATTTACTTCAGTTCAGTTTGGTGGCAGCTCCTCAGAGCACCTAAGAAAATCTCCTGTCCTTAGAGCCTTCCTTGTAGCTGCCCAACAATGGGAAATTTGCTGAAGCACTGGGTGTTTTAGCAGAGGGGGAGGATCAGACCTGCACAGGATGAGGAATGGGACACTCACAGGAGAAGGGGAGAAGTGGGATACCTGGGAGAGAGATAAACTCCCAAATCTGGGAAGGTTTTCAGGATTTCCTGCCACCCAGCACAGCTCCAGAGCATTTAATCTGCATTTTTACCAGCACTCACCTTCCCACATTCATATTTTCAATCACAGATGTTTTCAAAGTCATTCCTATGCTCCAAATATTAAATTTGGAAGAAATGTTCAGTCACGGACCCTCAAAATGAGGGCGTGTTTGGTTTGATTGATTTCATCTCCGGTGCAAATATTCATATCTTTGCTACCAGCTCCTTTTATTTAGGATTAACAAGTACAAGTTTCACTTGAGCAGCTGTGGTTTCACCTCATGAATGTTGAAATTGAGAATAATTTGTGTTTCTGTTCATATCAAAGTGTCTGCTGTATAAAATAGCTTGGGTCAACTCTACATTTTTACTGTTTATGAGCAGAAATATTTCTGGCTTATTGGTGTTGTGGATAGCCTTGTTCCTCGCTCTGTTTTATTTAGTAAAATTGTAATTTTAATAAGATTTTAATACTGAGATTTAAACGACACAAATTTCAAATTAATGTGCTCACTGATCAAGACACAAAAGAGAAAATATTTTAATAAATTGAATATTGCCTTCTATGTACTGTTCTCCCAGCAATAATGACTTGCAGTCTGAAATATAATTCAACTCTAGCCATAAATATTCATAGCTGAGAGTCCTTATTTTCCTTTAAACTGTTCTGTGCTACTGGAAATTCTAATGTTTCAAAAGCCAAACACTGCGACCTCATCATAACCACAGGTACCGGAAAAGCCTTGATGCAGAAAAGTGGATTTCATTTCAAATAAATCATGAGCTGTGGTGGGAACAATGCTGTGCTCTGATGCACAACATTTCCACAGGTACAGAGAAATCAAATCCAAGCCGGGCAAAACGGGGATTGCACACCCCGATGTGGGCTATGGCACTGCAGCCCCACCATGGGGATTGTGCAGCCACATCTGGCTCTCACCTGAAGGAAAGCTCTCCAGGAAGGAGACACCAGCTCCTTTTTAGCATCACTTTGAGAAGCCCCGTTCCAATTCTGGGTATCAGCCCTGCAACACTCCGGGAAGACATCATGTGCATGAACATTTCCTTCCTCCCACGTTTCTCCTCTCTGCTCCCATCCCCTTGGCTGGGGACACGTTTCCTCCTAAGGCAAACCAGGATCTTGCAGCTGACACCCCTAGGCAGCAGGTGGAGAGCAGGACACCTCTGAGCAAGGCTCCCACCCTTGGAGGCAGAGCCAGAGGCACTTTGGGCTCTTTGCTGGGTATTCATGCACACAGTGGCACAGGCAGGGGAGAGGAAGAAAGGGTGTCTCATAAATCCTGTGACAAATGGGAAGACAACAGTAATTCAGTTACTCTGCCCAATAATCCTACCAAAAACGATGAAGAACTTAAGTAGATAATTGTTTATCCTTTGTTTTCATTGTTGATTCAAAACTAATACAATTACTTGTGCAGGTGATGTCTCAGTTCTGATTCACAGGGGGGAGACAGCACTTCTTGTGCCTTATGAGCTGTTAATTCAACATGACAGGCTTGACCTGAGGACACCAATAACGTTGTCATCTCAGTTGTCTGATGGCACAAAGCTGAACTGATCCATTCTGTCTCAAAGGCTCTCAGGGAATTCTGTGAATTTGGTGGAAGTGGAAATCTCTGGGGTGACAACTGTGTACCAGGGGAGCCTCTGTCCTTTTTTCCCCCCATAACTCATAGCCATGGTCCTCTTACACTTTGGTTTCACCACCCAAGTCTTTGCTATATTTTAGCTCCAGTAAGGGAAGGGATGTCAGCAGGGAAGTCACTGCAGAGTGGGCTTTGGAATACAGGAGACAGCATGGCTGTGGCTGGGCTGTGCGCTGCTCTGCCTCTGTCTCCTGCTGTCAGCAGAAGATAACTGCTTCCTTTCTCACTTGATTTTCCCTGTCACTCTGTGTCAAAACCCTCACTCCTGCTTTCCAGTGGCTCCTTCCCACAGGAGGAGGCTGGGCTTGTGCCAGGGAGGCTCCTCTTTGAGCAGTCCCGGTTTAAGTTTCCAAACACTCCCACACAGCCCCTGCCAGGTCCCTCTGTGCCCAAGCACAGCCACCTGTGGCAGCTGGTACCAGAGGCCAATGTGGTGGCACCTGGCACTGTCTGAGGAGGGACAGATCATGCCAAAGCTGTGCAGAGCTGCCAGGCTGCTGTTAAAGCACCTGCACATCTCAGGAACAACGTCAGCCTAAAGGCTGCGGAATGGAGCACAGCAGAGTCTCAGCAGCACCCAAAGGAAACGATTCCCAAACAGAGATTGGACTCAAAATATCAGCTGGGAACCAGAGCTGTGGGATGCCTCTTCTCACAGCCTCCTCCAGTGCTGTTGACAGAAATAAACCTGCTCAGCTGTCACTTTGGAGCTGGAGATGGGCCATGGGGAGGCAGGACATGTGGGGGTGGATGAGGGGGAAGGATTTTTTTTCTCTGTGAAAACATCCAGTTTCACCACTGACAAGTCTGACAGGTGGAAACCAATTAAAAAAAAAATTCTACTCACAAGTGCCTGGCATCTTTGGAGAAGTTCCTCAGTTTTGCTCACTCCTCTGTAGTAACTGCTGGCTGCTGACACAGGGCAAGTCTCTTCCCATTCCCAGCATTGCCCTCCTGCTGAAACAGGGGCTGGGCTGAGGTCTTTGACAGATAAGAGGTGATGTGGACACATCCCTCATTTGCACATTTTTGTGGGCTCACACATGAACCACCCTGTTTGAAGCAACACTGCAGAAATGTCGACTGCAGCCTTTTGCTCCCATTTTCCCATGAGATACTGACAAAGTGTCTCAGGAAGGCATCAGCTATTTCAGTTTGATGCTTGGCAAAGCAAGCATAAGGATTAGCCTACCTTCACCATTCCATTTTCTATTACATACTCAAAAGGATCTCAATGAAAGTACCTGTAAGGCAGGTCCTGCCTATTCATCATCACTCAGGCTTGACACAAGAGCAGAAAATTGGTTCTTCTCCTCCTAGGGTCAAGTTTGAATTTAAACACATATATTCCTGGGAATCTGCATCAGAGATGCTAAACACCTCCTAACAGAAAAAGCAGGATGGCAAAAGATTATTATTCAGCTACATTTACAAAATTCCCATGCAAAATAAATGTGCATTAGATGACTGCTGCAGCATCTCTGAATTGCAGGCACTTCAATGTTTTAAAATTCCCTCATGAGCTCTGCCAGCTACTAAGCAAGTTTCCCCCTGTACCCTGAAGAAAGTAAGTGTGGAGAGCTGCCAGCACTTTGTAGGGTAAAGCTTTTCCCGAGAAAAGCTTTTCCAGAAAATCAACTTGCTTTTTGTCACTTCAGAAAAGCCCCAGGAGATCTGAACCCCGCAGGCTCAGACAGAATCAGTCTGGGTTTAATGTTCCAAGAACATAAAGAGTACCAGCTCTCCCCAGCTCTGCAGGTTTGGGAAACATCACCACAGGCTCCCTGGTTGTGCTGCATTTCCAAACCAGGCTGTGCAGTGAAACCCAACAACCATCCACCCCTTTCCCAGGGATTCTCCTCACAAACAGGGTAAAACTTCATAAGGAACATCAGGGTAACCTCAGCAAACGTGGTCAAGTGGCCACAGCAGTGCAAAGGGTTTGGGTTTTTCAGTAATTATCATGATGGGCTTAAATGTCACGAGAAATCAAGTCACTGCATTTCTCCTAATTTTAGGACAGGTAGAACAACAGCATTTTGAGACAGCAGCAACAACTGTTTCTTAAATTAGAGTATTAAATTTAAAGTATTAAATTAGCTGTGGAGATCCTACTAAGGGCAACCACAGCAAGCAGTCCCTGGCTTTCCCTGGCTGACAGCAGAGATCTCACCTCAGTGCTGCAGTCTCAGCTCGAGCAGAGGAGTCTCTTTCTCTCCCTCCAATGCTCTTGTCACAAGCTCTTTTTTCTGTAGTGTTTGTTCACCTCTCAGGATGCTGCCCACTCATGTGATCCATTACAGACCTCACGCTTTGGAGCCTTTTAAAATGTTTCCCCTTTCTTGAGTGCCACTTCTCTTCAAGGAGCCACCGTGGCCTGCTGAGCTAAGTCAGCATCCAGCACCAGCCAGAGCTGCACACTTGCATAACCCAGCAGAGTGCAGTGCAAGGATCATTAGCACGACCTGCCTTCATCACCAGTCCTTACATGAGGGCATTTGGGACTGCTTGGCAAATCACACTGCAAGGCCCCGTGACCCCAGCTTACCCATTCCTCCCTAAAAAAAGTATCTGTGGGGTGATGACTGACAGAAGGGCTGATTTGCCAAGGTCTCTTACCCTGCACTCATGAATTTTCATCCCAACACCTTCCTCACAGGACTTCCCGAGAGCCAGGCTGATTTTATTGAATGTGACAGGAGATAACAGTGCCTTATAATAATTGTGCTTTTTTCCATTGTCAAAACTATATAATGCAGCAACCTCCAGCTCGCTGATGAGCAAAGGGACACCTGGCTAAGCCACAGGCTGTGATGTGGGCAGAGGAGCCCTGCCTGGCCTCATTCCATCCCACACAAAGAGGAACACCCAGGAGGATGGAGCTGACATCTACAGCATCTCATGAGTCACTTGGTCCCCTCCTGGGCAGCACAGAAGAGATTAAATGGGAGCAGAAACACACTGGAGTGCACCTCCCTTCTGAGGGACATCCTGATAAAAGAGGGAATTAATAAAATGGTCTGCCCTACCATGTTATTCTGATTTATTCCTGGAGACAGGCAGTTAAGTGCTGGGTAAGTCCAACCAGGGAATCTTCTTCCATGGGCAGGAAAAATCTTCCCTTTATTTGTGAGACTCAAAGGGATTGATGGCTGAAAAGGTCTCCAACACCAAAGGGAAGACTTCTGCCTAGGCCTGTCTCTCTCCCATGGGCATCAGCACCATGTGCTGGAAGGACAGGAGATGCAGCAGGCTGGACCCTGGACGTGATGAGAGCAGAGGAACAGGATCCACATGTGCTCAAGATTTGTTGTCCCATGTGCTGTCGGGCTCTTGGCTGCACAGTGGCTCCCAGCACTGGCTGTGATTCAGGCTGCAAGCACAGAAAAAACTGGCTGCACATTTGCTAGCAGAAAGTCAGGAAGTTTGGTGAAGATTAGAGCCAGAGCAGGAAGCAAAATTGCTCCAAATTCTACTTTTTGCATAAACCATCAGTACAGAAATATCAGTTTCCTAAAGGAATGCTCACATATTTAATTTCTTCCTTTCAGCCCCATCATTCTCCAGTGACTTTCAGTTTGCTTCACTTGTAATATATTTTCTCCTACAACAATGAAATTGATGCTGTTTTTACTGACCCTCAATTTCCTGCATATATAAAGTAACACCCTTGGAAACTGATACAGGGAGCGTGTTGCTGTCACTTGAAAGCAAGAATTAATTAAGGTGCCTACAGCCATCCCTCAGGTGTAGTCCTTGGCTGAGCACAGCCAAAATCAGACAGTGGAAGGACTACATCTGGAAAAGAGAACGTGGATATCACTCCCACAACCTGCAGCACCAAAAAGCTCCAAAAAGAACATGCAGCACTTCCATGCATGCGTGCTGCAACATGCCTCACATGCAGAGGCACAGGCATGAATTTTGTGAGATCATGGGAAGGATTACTCAAAAAAAACCCCATGATTCTTGCAAAGGCACATGGCAGATTGTTCTTTCTGATTTGTTGCCCATCCCAGAGTTTTGGTCTCTTTGCTTTTCCCACTTTCCCATTATTTGGTTGATATGGTGGAATTTCACCTTGATCTCAGGAAGGACTGATGAGCTATGATGCTTTTCCCTCTTAGCAGCTCTCTGCACCAGCCTGACAACAATAAGGTGGAGCACAAGAGATGTAAAAATTTTCTGATTTTAGGAAGATTTCAGACTCGCAGCTGATTCTCTGTGCACTGATCTGGCAAATGTTTTATGATGCTGCATGTGAAGGACATTGTGTGAAATTATTGTAGTACATTTAATTAGCTCTCTGTCTCCTTTTCAGGTCTGCTACACATATATTTCCTTTCTTCCTGTTCAATTAATCTACACTGCTCTCTTTCAACTTGTGTTTTCATTTAGCAGTGTAGCTGACTCTGTAGCTGATTGTTTACTTAGGAAAGTGGAACTGAGGCAATTTGTGCAGGATAAAAAAAGCTTTCTGTCCTACAATAGGCATTTCTAGTGGCAGTCACAGGCACAGACTCTTTCTCCTTCACCCTGTAAACCCCAAATAGCTGAAATTCACTGCACTGTGTGAAGCAGGGCTGCAGCCAGCTCAGATCTGTGCCATTCCTACCTCCTTGGCAGCATTTTAAAGTCTGGAGGAGCCAAATCCACGGCCTTCTATCAAAGTCGTACATCTGCCCACCTTTGGATAGAGAATATGTTCTGATTCATTTGCAACTCAATACCATATGCAGCAGAGCTGTGTTAATCCAACTGTTTGGACACTGTATCCTGGGTTGGATTAGAAGAAATTCCTACTCCTGTGTTGGAATGATAATATTCTCAGTACTTGTTTTTTTAGTGCTGTTTTTCACTAAACAGGAAGACACCTTGGCAGAAGCAGAAGCAGACACAAATATAAGCATTGACATAAACACAGAACATCCACAAAGTGATGCAGAAACCATTGGCAGCAGAAGGATCAGAGGAGCCACAATCCAAAAAGCATCACTCAAGAGGGGTTGGGAGGAGCAGGAAGGTGGCTGATGAGATGATGTGTGCTATGCAATCAAGGACAATCACACAGTAACTTTTACCATCAGTGGCAAATACTGGATAGCAAAGCATATCCCAGTGGCTTTTCTGATAGCCCCTGAAGCAGCCCAACCTGCAACCATCACCACTGGGTGATGGTGACATTGGAAACCGTAATGCATTGTCTCATAAACTGATGGCAAGGAAATCTATGCAGATTTGTTTTTCCTCCACAGTTAAGCAGAGATTTAGTCCTCTTCAAGCTCCCAGTCATTGAAAAAATAATTTGATGGGACTTTGCCTGCTCCTTCCTTCTCTGAGTTCTGCCAGGATTTTCTTGGGATGTAGATTCAACAGCCAAAGAAACTCTCAGAGAGCTCAGATGTAAAACCAGGCTTCCAGTGTTGGAATTTATACACAGGGGGAAAAGTATTTTTAGTTACTTCTGCCAGAATCTGTGCACAAGCCCTGAGTGTATTGGTTGGTGAGGAAGAGATCTGGATCAAGGTAGCAGAACATGAAATTGCATTTACACTCTCCCTTCTTTGCCAACAAGAATTAAAGCTTGGGGCCAAGGGTCTGTTCTTCACCTGATTTATTATCTGGCCTGGATTTAATTGTGAGCATCCATTATCAGCTGTGTTCATTCTCTTCATCAGGCTCCAGACACTCACACACAGTCACACACACAAAAGCCTCCCCCTGCTATTCCAGCTGTCTCCAAAACACCAATGCACCAGTTTTCAGGGCAGCATCAGTGGATCCTGGGATGCCAGAGGGAAGCTTAAATGAAGGTGGACAAAAACATCCAGCCAGTTAAAAACCTGCCATGTTACAGTCACATAAATAAATGTTGGTGTGGCTGGAAGGAGAACATGTCCTAACATCAGGGTTTAGAACAGCAAGGATTAGGAAAACAAGAGGAAAGGATCTATTACTGAAAAGCCAGCCTGGGGAAATAAACACCTTTTCTGCTTACCCAGTTTTGTCCGTAGGTTTATTTTTTTCATTGCTTATTTATCACTCAGCTCCATTGTGAACTTCCTTCCCCATCCCTGGAAGTGTCCAAGGCCAGGTTGGATGGGGCTTGGAGTAACCTGGGATAGTGGAAGGTGTCCCTGCCCACAGCAGATGAATTTTAAGGTCCCTTCCAACCCAGACCATTCTATGAATCTCTGACTAGTCCTGCTGCTGACACAACCAAATATTTTTGGGGTTTTCCCTCTCTGTTACCTCACAACCCACTTTCTGAAGCTCCCATCGCAGGCTGGGACCAAATGATAGTGAAAATGTGATTTTGTAACATGAAATTTCATAACGTGCCCTTCCAAGCATGTGAAATCAGAAGTGGCAGCCTCAAAACAGCACCACTGCCACAAGTTTGAGGCCAAACACTCAAAGAGCCTTTATTTATGATTCCCAGCAACTGTTAGTAAGCACAGCCTAAACTTCACATCCACATAAGGAAAGCATTTGGAATACATAAATACCCCTGGTCAGTGCCCTGCCTGTGGTACAAATGTGTCTGCAAGAGACCAGCTTGTAAATCTGGGCCAGGGCCAGCTGAATTCAAAGGATGATTTCCTATCATCTCTGATAGGCTTTGGGATCAGGCCCAGCTTGCCTTAAATCAGGCATCTGGCACTTAAATAAACTAAAAGGTTTCTTAGTTTGTGGTTTTCAGCCAGGCTAGCAGCAATATGTTGTGCAAAGAGAAAGCTCTCATGTAATATTCCTTCCTGGCTGTAGCTTTGTCCTAAGATGACAAATTGTTTCCAAATAGATTAACATGATAGAATTCTATTATGGATGCTCTGTGCATGTTTCATGACGGGTCCTCCTATTTCTATAAATCCCTTCCTGAAGCATATTTGCTAATAAGTATATTGATTTATATGTGTCAGAAACCATATGCTTAAAGGAAAAGGACAAGCTAACTTATTTGCTTTTTTTTTTTTCTTTTTTTTCCTTTTTTTTTTTTTTTTTTTTTTTTAAGGAAAGAGAGGCAGGAAATAACAAAGAATAACTGTAGTATGTGAGGGCAATTACCTGCTGAAAGAAGAGATAAAGATTGTTCCTAAACAAGATCAGGTAGATGGGGACAGATTACCTCAGCATGAAATTAGCCCTTGTTTTTTTCTACAGAAATGTCCTGTCAGAGGTTTGTCTGTTCAGCTGAAATCTGGTTTCTGCTCAAACCTGAGAGAACTGATGAAGTCCTTGCATGACCAGGTGGGCACAGATGGAGTTTTCACCTTGGCCAAGCAAGGGAAAGTTGGCAGCTGTGCCACGATGTCCACGATGGGGTCTTGGTGATGTGATAATCAGGGACGCCAAGATGTTGGAGGGATCCTGTCAAACCCTCCTGACACTGCTCCTTCATCAGGC